TGCTTTGCTGATCGACCATTGAAACCCATTCAATGAAGCGCTGTGCACACATGGCCACGGGATGTGGGGTGGGGGGGTGCTGCAGCACTCCCTAGTGGCAAGAGAGAGATAAAAAAATATTAAAAATACTTTGCACACATTATAAAATTCTTATGAATATTTTTGGAAATGATTTTGCCATTTTTTAATTTTACTATTACGTGTATTTGGATTCAGCACAAGTTCATGGAAGCTGTCATGGCAACAGAAAGCAAGCTAGAGCGTGGTATCCCACTGGCAGCAGCAGACTAGTTAATTTATATAGGCTAATGACAGAAACGAGGAGGAAATATGGCACAGAAGCGCATTTCTGATTCGTCCGCTCATGAGAGACTTTATCTCCATGACTTAAGAGTGCCCTTGAACATTTAGACACCTGTAACCAGGGAGGGCACCCTGCCTGTAGTTCAAACTAAGAACATGGTTCTGATGCGCACTTTCATCTATCCATGCTGTTTAATGTAACTATAATATTTAGAGTGTTATTTTGATCTTGTGCTCTTTGTGTAATGGAGAACTGTTTTATAATGTTTAAATAGTATAATAATATAATTATTTCCTTATGGCTTGCATACAATAGTAGCTATTTAAAATTTCCCCACTTTCCTTGATGGGCCCTTGGCTGGTCCTTTGTAGGTCGCCTAAGATTCCTTTATTAAAGATCAAACTTTGTACTAAATGTTCTTTCTGTCATGATTTGTGCACATTAAGGTCTAAAGAGAAGCAATACCTCCTGGTCAGACCCTGTAATTCAGTGAAAGGGTGGAGTCAGAGTAAAAAAAATATGCACGCCCTGAGAAGGCCAGTGGCTAGAAGTTGGAGGGAATTCGGCTGCCATTTGAATCGGCTGCCATTCGGCTGGCTTTTGATTGGGAAGAGCCATTTTGAAAGGCTGCTACTGTAAAAGGATTTTGGAGCTAATAGTCACGTGCGACATAAACTGTGACTCAGGTTCATGCAGCTGTACTATGATGTTATTATAGTGGTATTGTCAAGTTTGATTAATAGCACATATATTTACCTGAGAACTGATGTCTGTATGTTAGACCCTGGTTGCGTGCACTGAAGTATATATATGAAAATAAAGTAGTGAATCTAAATCTATTTACCTATTTATTTTTATTGTATTTTAATTGGCCTATAAGCTCAAAGGTATTTTGTCCAAAAAAAAAAAACCCAACAAAAAAATTAACAGCACCCCCTGTTTAAAAGTCTTTTAAGTGGCCCTGGTGCACACTGTTCTTGAGCTAATCTGAAGGCCACATGAAGCTTGGAGGAGTGAAGGAATTGACTCTGCAGAAAGTTGACGAGCTCTCTGATGAGGCGCTTCAGCATTTACTGACTCCGCTCCATCAGTTTATGCGGCCTACTGTACCACTTTGTGACTGAGTTACTATTGCTCCCAAACACTCCCATTTTATTATCATACCTCTGACAATGGACTGTGGAATATTTTGGAGCAAGGATATTTTTTATGACTAGATTTGTTGCAGAGGTGGCATACTCTCGTTTCCACACTGGAATTCACTGAGCTCCTGTGAGCAACCCGATCTCTCACAAATGTTTGCAACAACAGCCTGCATGCCCGTGAGCTTGATTTAATACACCTGTGGCCTTTGAAGTGATTGGAACACCTGATTCCAAAAATTTTGGGTGGGTGAGCAAATACTTTTGGAAATATAGTGTACATATCACTAATAATTTTCTAAAAAAATAGGTTTGAGTTTACTTTGCAATATATATATATTTTTTAAATCCCTTTTATTATCTTTATCAAAGGTGTAAGAAAGTTTGAAAGGCCCTTTTTTTATTGCTTATCCCTTTTATATGCTGATGTGAATTCTAAATAAACATCCAAAATCTTTTTTCTATATTTGGAATTTGATTGTCTGTGCCAATTTGTCCAATTAATTAGTTCTAATCCTGCTTTTCAAATAATTAGAGAAAAGTTTTCTTTGATTTTTGAAAATAAAATGGGATTACTGAATAATGTTCAATGTAGGTATTAATTATAAGGATCTAGTACAACTATTATATAATAAAATTGTCTGCTGTCCCCACATAATCAGAGATTATAGTTGGGAAAGTAAGACTGACAGGTAAAACCATAAAAAAAAGTTCTCCCACTGACTGCCTGTCCTCTGCGATTAGTTCCCCTGCTTTGATGTATTTCTCACTTGATTCCACCTGAAAAACTGCTGCCTACAGAGCAGGTGCATTCTGAGCAGGTGGAGCATTACGTAGGAGAAAGTAGAGCTGGAATAGTCTGTTTTATTTTAGCTCGGTGAAAACCGTTTTTGGATCAGACTTTCTAACATTCTTTTGTTTTTGTTTCATATCGATGTTCCTAAAGTTATTGCTTGAGCTTTTTAGCAGTTCTGCTCTTTTTGCTGAGCTGCAAATCTAAACTCTGCTCAGCCCCCACTGATTACTTGCGCACAGACTCTGACACAGACAATTAATTTGCCAGGGGAGAGGCTAGTCTTAATTGGGTATAAGTGGGATTTTTCTTGGCTATGTGCAACAAAAAATGACAGGCTGTGTGCATGAGAAGTGAAGACCATCTGGTCCCTTAGGAGCTTTGAGAGATGCCAGACAAATGGAAAAAGAAACAACAGAAAACCTGTGTGGGTTTGAACAATGTTTTTTTTTTTTTTTTTCCGACAGCCTCTCTTGTTACCTCGCTTTGACGCTCACAGACATTCTACGGTAAAGGAGTCGCCATCATCGGGTCAAATTACATGCCCCCATGTAGCAGCTTCAAGGGGATGTACAGAAGGTGAAGAACCTGAAATATTTCTGTGGAAGCATGTTGATGTTGTATACAAGGATTAATACTACATATTTCAACAGAATGTATGTTGAACAGCATGAACATAGGAAAATTTTTTTCAAACTTATTCAAATTGATATCACTATATAGATGTATTTATATTTGTTTATTTTTGATAAAGAAACAAAATTGTGTACTACATCTATCGCGAGCAGTACTTTAGAAGCTTTAGATGCAAAGAGTCATGGAGTCTTGGAGATACCATTGGGAACCCGGGAAGATCATCTAATTTACTGTAATTGGGAAGTGAAAATAAACAAATACGTGTTCCCGAAAATTTTATTTAATTTGTAATTAACACCACCTGTAATTCATTCTTAAAATAAACTAAGCTGTTCTGTGAACACCTCAGATGTTTGTTAGAGAAAATTTGGCGACACAATGAATACCAATGACTGGATAGGGATAAAGCCGTAGAAAAGTTTAAACTAGAGTTTGGTTAGAAAAAACTATATCTGGGCTTAGATAGATCGTAGTGCAAAGTTTAAATCATATGTCAAGGAAAAATGTCTGGCACAAACTAAAAATCCACCTAGACGTTGATAAGAAGTTTTAGTTAAAAAATAACCAATGTAAGTTTGGGGAAGCTGAAGGTGGGGAAATCTGTGGAAACAGCCGGATTTTGAAAGAAAGCCTCCTATGGTCCTCTTTGCAGTTTTGACATGGGAAACGTGAAAAAAAAATCTGAAAACATGAGGAAAATGGTACTTAGGTCATACGAGACCAACATTGACGTTTCAGAACTTACATGAAAAATGCTTTGAGTGGCAGAAGACATTGCACATGAAAACACCCACCCAATGAAGCATGGTGGTGGCAGCATAATGTTGTAAGGACACTTTTATTAAACATGAACAGGAAAACCGTGCTAAGTCTATGGAAATTGATCTCTATGGGTAGACTGACAAAACAATATGAGAAGAAACCCTACTAAAAGACTTGAGATTCATACCTCATCAAAAACAGAATTTGAGCCGAAAGGCTTTATTCCTTAAATTTTGGTTTTAGATGTGTTTGTACTCCATTATAGCTTACAGGAATAGTTGAGTTATCTTTTCAAATTTTCAACAGATTCTTAGGAGACCTGCTAATCCACCGTTTGTTGGAACTCAGTTTAGGGAAACTAGGGTAAGATATAAAACATGCAGGACGCCATGTTTGAGGACTGACTTTGGAGATCATTGGTTAAGTTGAGATAGATGGACATAGTGGACGTTATCCAAATGAAAATCTGTGGCAAGATTCAAAAATTATGTTCATCAACGCTCTCTGTCCAAACTGAGCTTAAGTTGCTTTTCAGTTAGAAGCAATGTTCATGTTTTTATGCAAGGTAAAATAGTTAAAAGGTCTAACAGCTGTAATTGCAACAAAGATAAAACTTTCTAGATTATTTGTTATGAAATGTTTGGAAAACCACAAATCAGTTTCATTCTACTCCATTTGTTCTTGAAGTTTGTGGTTTTAACCTGACAAAGTGGGTAAAATTTGTGTTCTGCCATTGGTGATTGGTAATATAAGTTACAAAAACAAACTATGACAAAGAGGGGTGAGATTGTAAAAAGAAAATATGAACGAAAGATTCTGCTGGTGAACTCTTGTCATCAAGTTTTTTCTCTGCTCAGTGAGCTCACCAATACAGCGATCAGAAACTGTAAAGTAACAACATACCCATCAGCTTCCAGAGAGAAACACAGCATCTTTTGATAATACTAATCCACCAACTGGTTTAAAACCTTTTTTTCAAGATCTCCAACTGAAACACAGTCGTGCCCATTAAAAGGGATTCTTTTATGTTCATGCACAAAAAAGATTATAATTTGCTGTCCAATTTCATTGTATAAACAATAACAAAAATTGTTTTATTATGTCGATCATTTGACAAACATCACAACATACTTGCATGATTGCTCCAATGTGAATGTTTCCCACACTTTAATTAGGCAAAAATAAACCCAGTACAAAACTATGTAAAACAAACATGCTTTCAGTTACACTTTAAAGCCATATTCCATATTCTAACAAAATTCACATCTGATAAAGATAAAAAAGAAAATTAAAACTGCAGAAGGATGCAGAAGCTCATCATCATTTTCTGTATTTATTTGTCTTATGATTTTTTTTTTTTTTTTTAGTTCACATCAAATAGAACAGACATACATTGGCACATGCAAAGTGGACACTTTGTGGTGCTTTAAGTTACCATCCAAATCCAACTGAACAAAGACTGGATATCTATTTCTGTGTTCTTCAAACATGAAAATACTCTCAAATATTTACAAAAAAAATATACTCACAATGCCCATTACTCGATTAAAAAACATCTCAGACTAGGTTGAGTTGAACTTGTTGAAACAAAATGCTGTGTGTGGCAGAGCTTGCTGTTCAAGGTAATTAAATCAACAAGAGAAAATAGGCACCGAAGAAAATCACTTAAACAATACAAAACAGAAATCAGATAATGGACACCCCAAGAGAATATGGCTTTAATGACATTTCAAAAGAAAGATTTTGAAGCAGATCCAATGTCTGTATTTTTGTGTTTTTTCCTCATTCATAATGACCCCTTTTTTCAGCAGGCAACTTGTCCCCTGTCAGACAAAGAGAGGAGCGCCTCGTCACAAGTTTATAACCTGTGGTTGGTTCTGAGGGGTCGTCCCAGTCACACAGGCCCAAAGCTCTTTTCTTATCTGTTAGGACTCATGCATCATGTCTGAATGTAGGTTGGATGCTTTTCACAGTCCTGGAGTGCATAGGTTCTGCAGGTGGTGCTAGGATGCCTGCGCTCTCTGTCTTTTTTTCTCCGTTCCTACAGCTTCCGTTGCTTTCTTTCAGATCACCATCAAAAGACAAAGTGCTTGTTTCTAATCAGATCCTGAGGTTGTTGTAACTCACGTATGTTTTCTTAGTTGCTTGACCTGTGAAAGAAAGAGCATACAAACTAGATTTACTTGAGCTGTTCTCACACAAAACTAAAGCAGAATAGAAAGGCGATTTCAATAGTAAATATGCATCATTCACTTTGGCAGGCTCTTTCTACTGTGCTGTGAATTCTTATCACCAGCTGTGCGCAATCAGTTGCAATATTTTCTGGACTAGCACATCATTTCAGCTTGCACTGCCTGCATGGAAAGCTTCAGCGTCTATTTTCAGATGTTAACTGGTGATAGAAATCACAAACAGCACTAAAGTGGGCACCAAACAAATGTTAGGGCATGGAATGGGAATCCAGGCTCGATTGCCATGGAAACGTATCAGAGCATGGCTGAGCGCCCAGATGCCGTTTGTGTTTGTGTGTCATACTGCACAGCTTTCATAATGAGAACCAATATCAGTTTCAACCCTTATGAGAGGAAACATATATTTTTGTTATCATTTTAGGTCATTCAAGCTCATTTTGACCTTTTAAACAATTAGTGCTCTGTAAAAGTTAATTCCAGGGTGATGGATTGTTTCCAGTCTAGGTTAATCTTTAAGTCCCCTCTGATGCTGTAAAATAGCTATTTGAAAGCTGTGGTTTGTTATACCAAAGTATGTCTAGTAATTAACTTGTTGCTGCTTGCTCAGCACCAGATCCTTGTGGTTCTGGTATAATGATTTTATCACACAAACATGAGTTACCATTGCTACCATTGCACAAACTCTGAGTTAAACCCTTTTGGGCGGGGTGGATGCTTTCTTCAGAGGCTAAAGTCAGGCTCATAGAGACCAATAACATCTTTATCATGTGGAAAACTTCTAATTTTGCTTTTTAAAAGCTATATTTCAAGGCCTTATCTAAATATTTTTATCAACGTGTTCCACAAATGTGGACTGTGAATAGGATTTTAAAAACATTTAAACAATAAGTGAATGTTATACAATAACAAAAGCAGAGGATAGTAACCAGAATTACTGCCTGAATTGCTAAGGATTGTCTTTCAGACATAGGTCAGGACTCTACCCTAGTATTAGATGTGCCAACTGCCTGTCATCTCTTCTTGGTTTAACGTTCCTTTATAAATCAATCATCTCCTATATGAAGATTATGAAGACCAAGGTTAGGTCCATCATGACACATAAACATCCTTTTTGACCTGCTTGAGAGTTTCTACCTGCAGTTACACACCTGACTATGACAAATGAGAATCAACTTTCAAAATATCCCAATAAGGTAAAAAAGAAAAAAAAAGTTTGAGTTAAATTGTATTCATGTTTTACTTTACAGATTACATATCCACAAAAATATTATTTTGGTTGTAGATCAGAACAGGCCCAATCTTGGTCAACCAAAGCTGAATGTCCAAAGGTAGCTGCTACCACTGATGCAGGTTTTGAAGGGGATAGTATTATGGGGATTATCCATGTGCCACAGTGCATGAGATTGATCAGCATGGTTGTTATCCCAGAGGGGAACCTCTTATAAGATAAGTCACATGATCATGGTGTGGTGTTGTCTGTTTGATAAATAGATAGATGCTTACAATCACACTACTAACCACTTAGAAATAAGCACAGATTCATATCAAAGCTCAAGATATGGCCTTCATTTATAGAAGGCATAAGTATTTTGGAGTCATGCATATGTGCTTGCAGTTAATCTTTTCCTGGATCAGGTTATGCCCATGCCAAGTAATTTTGATGTTAAATTGAGCTTTGGATTGTGCTCTAGCAAACAAAAATCCAGGTTAAGATTTGTGGCTAGACTGGCAACAATTTCCTATATGACACCACAGGCTGACGAAGGTGAAAACTAAAAGCTACAAGGAACGATCTGAGGTGCAAAACCTGGAGTTTGAGGAATTTTTCTAGAAAAACTTCTTGTACCCTTGTAAAAAAAAAAAAAAAAAGGCGGAAAACTAGGGAACTTAGATTAAACGGATAACTTTATGCACCAATAGTTTGTTTTTAATTATTGGAATATTATATTTGAAGTTTAATTTTGATATATTTAGTTTTTTATTCAACTTAGAAAACACTAAGACTTGAAATCTAATTTGGAATTATCAAAAAAAAAAAAGAAAAGAGGAACACACAAAAAAACATAATTTCCTAATACAGGTATAGTACTTGCAAAAATTTCAGGGCAATTTTTGGAATTAAAGTTTCAAAAAGCAGATCTCAGATAAATACTTTTTTATTGGCAAATCTGCACTCCTACACAAGCTGTACACAGACTACTTTATATTTGTGTCATTTCTTTAGTGTTGTCCCATTACAAAAGCATAATTATTCATAAGTTATGAACCATTTTTACCCCTTTTTTGTGATATACTGTATATGTATGCATACTAATAAACGTAGCATCTCTCTTTTAAATTCAGTCAGAGAACATAAGATACGTAGCTCAGAAGTGATATGTTACCCTGTCTACGAGCTGATTTATTATGGAAGAAAAACATCTTAAACCTTAACAACAAAAGGTTTTTAACTGTCAGAGGAGGTGAAGTTGCAGTCAAAATGATCAAACAGAGCTGGAGCTTAGTCTTTCTTACTGTATATGTACATGTAGCAGTCTTCAGCTCCCTGTCAGAATAAAAGCAAAAGCCTGTAACCAGTTGCTATAAAACATACTGACATCTAATTCCTGGAAAAAATACATAAAAGATCAAGGTGGCTTTTAGTTTTCGTTAAAGCAAAATGTCACCTCAAAAATATTTAAAATAAATAAATTATAAATCAGAAACCTATTCTTAAGTTTTTGCATCTTGAAGACATTTAAGTGTCTCTGTTTTGACAAAGGGATGTGGGGGCAGATATGCAGACTGAAGGTTGAGACAGACTGATGTAGGAGCTATTATTTAGTTGAGGAAAATGACACACCAGTACTACAAAGATCCAGTGCTCTGCAGAAAATTGAAGAAACGTTTTTATGGAATATAATTTTAAACATTATTTAAATAGCATTTACTATGATTGATAATTCTAAAGTATACATTATTGTGAAGAAAACTTGTTTCTTAAACCATTTTCAGAATAAGAATAAAAAAAACTGTGGCCTGTACAGTAGATGTAGTCAACCCATCTACATCAATACTATGTCAGATCCAATTTTTGATAAGGATACATGTGCAGCAAAAAAAGTCTGCGAATTGATGCAATGGGACCCAAAATATTTTTGGATTTACATTAAAACCAAACAAAAAATCCTTAATTGGTGGCAGTGGGACTTATTTTCTGTCAAAATGTTCCCTTATTGGCTCTGTAGGAAGCATTTATGTTACTTGTTTTGGAATACTTTTTGTGAATTCGTGTTTGTTTCATGAAGATAATTCCAGCTGTTTAGAGTTAAATCTTATTGTAAATCTGATCATGGCTTCTTTTCTGGCAAAGTAGTGGTTGGGACGAGCTAACAGTCAGCCTTTTTAAGGTTTTATGATAGATGTTGAATCTTTTGAATTTGACTTTCATTATTTTTATCTTTTTAATATTTTTGCTTTTGTTTGTAGGACTTTCAGATACTCACAGTGAACTATAAATAATATTCCTCCAAGTTCTTAGTATTTTTTTTTTTAAATAATTCTTCTCATTAGTGGTGCCAACTCCATGGCTTAGAACTTCATCTTTTTGGATGGCAAGTCCAAAACAGCAGCAAATGCAATTTACATACATAAACAGGATATAATCAAACTGGTCTGCATGAACATAAACTTCCAAGACATCCTTCAATATGGCCAATATTCAATGGGGTTTTCTTTTTTCTGCCCACACAGTTTAGTGCTTCTTGTTTTGAAGCTCCGTCGCAGTCTTGTAGTCTCCAACACGCTTGCCTCCAATACTGGCATGCATTTAACTCCATCATTCTTTAGATCACATCTGACAAGCCTAGATTTTCTACTTAAGAAAAGCAGCCCCATAGCATAATTTAGCTACCACATTCTTTCACTGTGTAAGGAATACTTTCAAAACGGCATATAGCTGTAGTTGTTCTAAACACCGGGTTTTGTGCATTTAGGCCAACAAGTTAGATTTTTGTCTCATGTAAACATTTTCTTTTACATTTGCTGTACCTCCCACAGGGCTTGGCGTGTGTTAACTGTGAATAAGACTTCCTATGGTTTACTTTCAACTATGGGTTTCTTCTTAGCATTCTAAAGCCAATTTTGCAAAGTGAACATTCTGATAGTTGTTGCATCCTCTGTCCTCCCACCTGAGAAACAGATTTCTGCAGTTTATCCAGAGGCGTTTTACTGCTTCTCTAGCTTGACCAGATGTCCCAAATTGTGTGGGACAGTCCCGCATTTTTAATCTGCACACAAACCGAAGCAATGTCCCACACTTAACTTGGTCTAATGACGCTAAGTGATAAAAATGTATTTACAGGAACCTTTCCTAAATGCAAAGAAAGCAGAGCTGTGCCAGTGCCCCATGTTATGCATTTTAAAACATTATATGATGGAAACTATGAATAAGGAAAATAAAACACACCCACAAGAAAGACAATTGAAGTGTTTATAACTGGTGAGGCAGTGAGTGGGGATTCTTAAAGGGCTTTTTGTAAAGTTTGCCAACGTTATTTTTCAGTTTGATACGATGGGAGCTTGATGTAAAGCAATACTGTAAAACAAATGCACAGCTGAGAAAAACATCTCTGTACTGCATTGTTCCTCATACGTATTTTAGCTGTCCCACATATGTTTCTTTTTCAGATCTGGTCACGCTATGCTTCTCTGATTAATGCTCTACTTGCTCAGTGTGTTATTTTAAGTGTATGGTCATGTTGTGCCAGGTTTACTTTAAAACAAACCCTACTTTAAACTCCTCCAGCACTTGCTTGGTCTTCATGAGGCTTTTTGCAGACTAATGTTCGCTAACAAATGAACTTCATTGTGCTCATTTCTTTTCCCATGGTATAAAAGTAATTGGGGCTTCAATACAAATGCACATCCAACATTTCATATTTTTCTTTAACATAAAAATATTATCTGTTTTTTCTTTTTAATGATCTACTCTTTTGGCTTATTACATCTGAGTTAATCTCTGCATTTTGTGCTTGTGCAAAGAAAAGTCTCTGTGTTGGGAAAAATCGGTATGTAAATCTTGATCGCACACAATGTACTTAATTCCTATTCTACGGTGTTAACGTTGCTATGGCAACCAGCTCACCATGGGCTACACAATTAAAGTCGCACTACTTCTTTACCGCTGGATTTTGTGGTCTCAGCCTGCAAATATGATGAATAAAACATTAGTATGTGCACAACAGGCTTGTGCTTGTTATCATTAACATTCTTTGACAAAACTTTTGAATGGGGGAGCCAATTTGGTCTGTATTTACAGGTCCTGGAATGATTAATTTACCTTTACTATCTTAAAGTTTGTTTTTGCTCATTGAAAGCTTATGTTGTCTTATCATATACCTTATACCCTATACCTCTTATGTGTAGTTTGTCTTTTGTTACACTCTTTTATTAAGGCATTTTCCATTGTTGAGAGAAAAAAACCCATCTAAAAATAGGGCCCTGACACATACATAGACACACATGCCCGATCGGAAAATTGTGATCGACACTGAATCAATTCAACAGAATTACAGAGCAAATGCTCCTGTCTGAGAGCGGTAATCATGAAGATATTACACCTTATCAATACCAATATAAATCTGCAGAATTGCTAATGCTCTGAATCCTATAAATCACTCTGAGTCATTTTGTACGGGCTTGGAGGGGCCTGAAAAGGAGGTGGTTGGTGCTCTGACGGTTACAGGAGTTGACGGACAGTCTCCTGGGATGGACGAGGCACAGTTCAGGTTTCAGGGCGGTCATGCACATAAATTCGCCATTAATAAATGTCACTTCCACTGTTGCTGAAAAAGGAGGGCGAAAAGGAGGAGAGAGCGTTTGGGGTAGAGGGACGAGTCGAGAAAATATTCATGCAGCAGAGACAGAAGGTGAGAGACACACAGAACAGATGACATCGGGCACTTTTGGGACTTCCCTCCAGAGCTTGCTTGTCCTGCTTGGGGACTTTTTTATGTGCTATTGCAACAGATGTTATGATTTTACCCTTGGTTCAGAGTGTACTTCGAGTCAATGAGGCACATGTGTGAAAGGCAAGGATATATTCGCCCTCCCCTGATACACTCACCCAGCTCTCTGACTTACATGTGTTCACCTCACACATACTGCTTCACGCGTAGGCATATATGCTTGCAGTTGCTCAGACACAAGCCAGCATGTTGGGCTCATAACAGATGAATGTGACAACTGTTTGGAGAAATTCCCTGGAAAATCTGTTACCTCAGAGACGTAATTCAAAGAGGGAGTGAGGGAACAGCGCACCTGTGGGTGCCATGATTGCTCGACATGATTAGAGGCGCTTGGGGGAGCGGGGGTCTGTGAAAGCTGTGATGTGTGATTTGCATGGGTTGTCAATCTTCTCTGTCTCTGTCCCTGACAGTTAAAGATGAGCAAACAGATTCTGCTGCAATAGGCATCTGAAATACAGCATTTTTATTCATATATTTTTAACCTTTCAAACTCTTTCTAGTTTTTTTGGATTCTCATCCAAAACAAACACTGTATCATCCAAACGTGGGAATACGTAGGCTGCCTCACTCACCTACTAATACCAAGCATTATCTTTGCTAATAGGATCATGCAAACTGTTTGAGATGAAGGCTGGCATGAGTAACACACAGCAACATAGACAGATTATCTGCCTCACTTTTCAGCGACAGAATCCTGTTTTTCCTTTTTTTTTAATCCTTCTCAGAGCATCGTCTCCTACGCTCGCTGTCATGAACTTGGACAAAAGGTCTTGCCGTTTATTGGGATAAAAGATAACTTGCTCCTCAGTGGAGGATATCGCTTATAATACTAGCAACCAATTAAATCAGGGGAATGGATTTTCTAGGAAAGTAAAGGAAATATGGGGGAGATCTAGGATGGGATTTAAATGCAAAAAAACAGCTAATTCACATCTAATGTGCAGCTCCGAGTCAGAGTTGAATTCTTGGGGATTTGTGGTTTGCATAATTTGCTGATATCAGACTTAATTAACTCATTCCTGATAAACAACAAGCTGCCACTGAAATTAAACTAATGTCAAACGATTACAATATCAGTTTGTCAAAAAAAAGAAATGTAATAACATTAATTTAAAAAATATATATATATATTTTTAGCTGGTAGATATATTGTATGTACTCTGTAAGAATATTGTATTTATCAAGGATCCATTGTCAAGGATCATTAACATAATCATTTTAGGATTCAAACAAAATTGACATTTGTTTCATGGTCAAATTACACCAACAGGGAGACTTCTAAACACTTGCTTACTAATGTGCAAAGACCTGAAAGTAAATATGGAGGTTGTTGTAATTAAGATAGTGAGAAGAATTATTGTTGTTGTAACTGAGACACCACAAGTAACTTTACCAAGATTTGAAGGATGAAAGCTACTGTTATCGAGATATGTTGTGGTACTCAATGTGACCTGAAGACTGAGCAGCTGGTACTTGCAGATGACTGTCTACGCCTTTTATTAGTCATTCTCATAATTCATTAATTTTACATGAAATGAAATGTGTTGAGCAGAAAACTCCAGATTATAGTGGTAATATTTAAAGCATGCACTTTTATTTTGCCCTTTGCGATTACAAGTCCAATGGTAATAGTATGATTATTGCTTTTAGTTAGTTTCTTCGACGCACATCAAGACAGAATTAAGTGATTTTATAAAATTTCACCGGATTACAGAACTTTTAGCAAGGCACCAAAGAAAGTAGGGTTGGTAAAAATCATAATTCTAATAATCATGATATCAAAAGCTTGTTTTTAAATATATACAATACAAAAAAGCCCCAAAATAAGATGGACCTCTCATTCCTGTGGGGCACCCTTCACCTACCTCCCAGTGGAGCAGAAAATGTGCTTTATAAATAAACTTGCCTTGTCTTGCCTAATGATCTGTTTGATTTTGGCTCACACCTTTGTCTGGAAAAAGCATCAAGACTTTGGTGTTGGAAAGAGAAGAAGAAACAGCGAGATGAGCTTGGAATGGAAAACAGCTTGCTAATGTGAGCGTTGAAATCACCTTACAGAGTTATTGAGCTTTAATACGTTAAGGTTCGTTAACGCAAATTATTTTTAACGCCGTAAAACATGTTTTAATAGGCAATTAATACAAATTTCTTCATGCTTTTTAGACCTTCTCTGGGCTGTAATTTGAATATTATTTTATTGTATCTTTTAGGTATTTATATACTTTTTAAAAAGCTGCGAGACAGCTCCACCCAGACTTATTTTCTGTCTACCTCTCCCACTCAACATGCTAGGTGCAGCTGTAGGCTCGCCTTAAATGGAGAAAACAGAAGAAACCTTTGGAGTTTTCTATCATTGTAGACCACAAAGTATTCAAGCTAATGGCCCCCAAATGGCTAGCACCACCTCTGCTGACACCTATCTAGTAATAATCTAGTTTTTATGTCACTTCAAAGGCTGCAAAATCTCTTATGTGAAGAAAAAGACGACAAATAGGTTTATTTACATTATTTAAGACAATTTTATATATATATATATATATATATATATATATATATATATATATATATATATATATATATATATATATATAAAAAACAATGGCTGTCCAGTCACTGATTGGCAACATAGTTGTTCAGGGACTTCATACTGTAGGTGGTAAATATAATTCCTGCTTGCTAACTGAAGAAAAAAGAAGGTGTTATTGTTCTGCATAAACAAACTTTAAGTTGATAAAATATCTTATTTCAACCAGAATACCTTGCACTAGATTTATATAGGTGTTATCATTCAATAATGTTGCCGATATCATTTTGTATGTTGTGGCATTTCCCTTCTTACCTTTTATCAAGCTGGAAAAGACTTTTGAAGAAAAAGTGTCTTTTTTATTTTTGTAAAGGTTAGATAAATACAAGTTTAAGATACCTTTATTCTGCAAACTTGTGTGTCTTTAAGACTTTACAGGGTGACCTTTACGGCGTGTACTCACTCATGGGGTCAGCAGCGGGGTTCTCACACAGCTCGGTCTTGGCCTCGCCGTTGGGCCGCTCACTGGGTTTCTGGGACAGACGGGATGACATTGTAGCAGCGGTGACCACAGCCTTGAAGCTACGCTTCCTCTTCTGCACGTTCAGCTCAGGGTGGAAGATAATGATGTACACCTTGGGCATGTAGAGCATGCCCAGCGCAACTGAGGCACTGAGGTTCATGGAGACAGTCAGGGTGGTTGTCTGAATGTACAGCTGGAAGGAACAACAGACAAGAGAAGAATACATAAAAAGATTGGGTTTTTTGCTTCTGTTTGAAGATTTGATCTTTTTGAGATATGCCTAATTTAGACCTTTCTAAAGAAAGGTTAATAAATATATATGTATATCTGCAGATTAATTTCTGAGTGGCTTATTGGCTTCAATTTCATAAGCAACCTTCAGGCCCCTCATATTCGAACATGGAATAGAGACAGCTTTACAGCAAAGAATCTGCTCAGCAATTTAGAAGTATGTCTTGTTTTATCTTTATGAAATATAGAATCTAAAAAAGACATATATTTAAAAGGTTGATGTTTAAGAAACTGATTTTAAATGAGAACCACTCATCATATGGATTTACCATAGCTTTATATTCTAAACCTTGTTTACTAAGCTCTTCATTGAGTTTTACTGCACTATCCCCTGAAGAGTCCCATTATCACAGTTCAATTGTGCATCTTTATCTTTTTTTTTTTCCTTTTCTCTTCTGTAATTTATTTTCCTTTCACAAAGTTTTACATTAAAATGTTTGGAAACAAAACAGTGAGAGCAGCTAATTTCTTTAACAGTTGCTATTTGTGGTTAAGCTTTTTAAGCAAGGTGTCTGTGTTACAACCGTCAAATATGCCCTCCTCCGCATATCTACTAAGGCAACAACATATAATTCAAAATACTTCATTTTATTGATCATGCATAAAATTATTATGTTCTGATAAATAGATTTTTTTTATTTCCTTAAAGCCATTATTATTAGGTGAACAAAAACAAACCTTCAAAAGGTATGTATCATTCTGTGTAATGCATTTAAAAATAAAGCTTCATTTTAAATTGGATGCTAAAAATTGAACTTCTTGATAAAATTCCTATGTATTAATATTTACTGCAAATAAAGGACTTTAGCTGATGACACAAACAATCTCATACTTGTTGTGAACTTCTTTTTTTTATAACCTTGTCATGGTTATTATTTTGGTGTGGCGTGGGAGCAGTGATGCATTCAGTGGCGATGTAGAAGCCTTTATTAAAGTCTGACCTGCAGCTATTCTCTCACGACTGAGAAGACTGAGGGTTTTTAAAGCAAATAGCAGAACCAGTGCCAAGACTGTATCAAAAATCACATGACCTCACATGACCTCTGTTCTATTAATCTGTTTCCTCTTGACTTGATTGATGGACCACACTGTCAGACAAAACTCCATTTCTGTCATGATCCCCCCCCTTCCTTTTCTTTTCTCTAGGCTTTCTTTTAGGACAGTGACTCCTCAACCAGCAGTTTTTGCTGCTGGCACCATTTTAATGAACATTATTGTATAACAAACGGCTAAATCTGACTCAGGAAAGCTAAATTTGTGGTATGTAAGAAGTCTACTTGTTTTTTTCTTCTGCTGTTTTCAACACAGTAGAAACAGCAGCACAATTCTTTCCAAACTGTTAATCAAAAACATTATTTATAAGGTTTCCAGTCATGCATTACAGGATGCTCTCAGTACAACCTTCTTTTACAGGGTCTGAACTACACTTTTCAAACGATAAGTTGTATTCCTGCACCTACATAACCCTATTTTGGTATTTTAATCTTAGACTTCATTTTAATATGTCAATTCTGTAGAGAGCCCATTGAGCCTTTGTATTGACAGCCAAGTGTGCCCCCTCACTACTTCTGAGTACGCTGGAGGAGAAGGCCTAGCGTCAATACGAGGGCATTATTGTTTCAAGAGCTTCCTTACTAATCTACTGCACTTGAAAGCGGCAGATATCATTTATACAGCTCCCCTCCGTCAGTCAGTGGCGACAGAGATGGGGCCAGCGTATGATTGTAAACACATTATCCACCGCCTCGTATCCACAGAGAGGTAACATGCTCATCGAATCAGAAAAAGAAGGGGGAAATGTCACCATTTGCATACAGTCTTACTTGGTAAATATCATTAATGGTAATTTCCGATCACACCGGTCTCATTTACATGTGAGGCATGTTTCTGTCTTTTAATCTCAAAGCAAAATAAATAAAATCAAATGCCTGATATCAACACACTGCTGTAATGTATTTCTCCCATCTCCTTTTACAGCCTCTCTGCTTAGCTATGTAGTAACTTCAGAGAGAATGATCTGCTTGCTGCACCATGCATTTCTAACAAGGCACTCTGTGTTGTTGCCTTCATCCTTAAGGGATATGATGTCTTAGCTTTCAATGCATTTAACTAATTGCCAAATGGTGGGGAATGCACATGTTATTGAACATACAACAATCTTCTCGTGTTCTCTTTTTATGTAATTAGCAGGCAGCTAAATATAACTGAAAGAAACTTTTAATAATACTCTGATACCTTAGAACGTGAGCTACAACCCAACTTATTAGATATGAATTCATGATGAAGCTTAATCCAAAGAGTGTGAACAATATCTGATTGGTACTCTCATCACGCAAGCTCACACATTTAAACTCCAGCAATGTGAAAAAAAAAAAAAAGTGAAAATGTGGGTTTTCACCCTTGTTAATACTGCTACACATGCACTCAGGCGCACACACAGAAGTAAACATACCAGCGCAATTCCTTTTTTTGCACCGTCTGTAATCACAGACAGGATTTTTTTTTTCTGCGCTCCCTCTGCTTGACCCAAATTCATAACCCCCTCTCAGCTACCATTCTAATGTTAAGCTTGTCACAAAACATTCATAATTAATTATTTTTTGCTTTAACATAAATAATTACATGAAGTCATTTTCCTGACTGCTCAGCAACACTCTATTTATAGATGCCTTAATGATTTATTTAAGTCTTCATCAGGGAATCAAACGCCTGCTTTTGAATTTTACATCTCATTGACAAACCAAATACCAGCATTGAGCCACAACAAACTGTGCGGCTCGACAAAAAGCTGATGAGGGTGTTTCTCATAATTAGACCTACGCACTGGGACCCACGCACTGCAAAGGCAATTTAGTTGAGTATGGTTTAGTGCTATAAATGGACACAGTGATAACGACTTGATTCAGTAAGTGACAATTAGGATGCTCTCTGGCCCGTCAGTGCATGCTTAAATAATGAATCCAGGGGATTTGCAGTCTCTTCTCAGGTACCTGGATATCTCTGGTTGTTTTAGGTGGCCTAGTTTTTTAAAACCAGCCCCTTCTCATGAATAACTTTTAGTGGGCTTTGAGTTGCAGAACTCCATCACATTTGGAAGACAATACTTTACGTTTGCACCCCCATTTCTGTGTTTTAGGGGTGGTGCCTAAAGGTTCTTGGTGTCGGTCACTAATAGTCAAAACAAGTTCAGGAGGTCACCTGAGCGAGATGTTTACATTTTTTCCAGAAATGAGGTCCTGATAAAATGTTTAGGCAGTCAACATTGTTCTATATAAGGAGATCGTTAGGGAGACTAAAGAAAATAGTTAATCCAAGAGGGGCCAAGACAAAACCACACTTGAAGAGTCCATAACCCTGAAATGGACAACTGACATTGTTGAAAGATGTAACAAAACTATGCCTTTTCAGTCAGAGTTACTACTCAGGAGATGCAGCACAAGCATATCTATTCATATTTCAACAACACCTTAAACGAAAGATGGAGAGAAATTGGTTTGTAGTCTCAGAGGTTCCTAGCAGAGGTTCTTGATTTGCATAAAAGTTGCCCTTGGCAGCATTAGAGGAGAGACATAAAAATAGCAATTTCTTTTTATCACTCAAGTTAGAAAACTGTCTGACCACTGTCTTGCATTTTTGCACATCTTTGAGAATGTGGAACCCCATATGTTAACTAGGAATGTACTGTTTGCTGCTGACATTAGAGAATGCTGGTAGCTGGAGTGCTTGTTCAATTCAATTAACTTGCAAGCAAAATGAATTTTTGCGAGATTTTTTAATTCACGGACTCACGAGGCCAATAGATGCAATAAACTCAATATAGAAATGTTTCAAAGTAATGAAATGCAGTGACGTGTATGACGTCAACAAGAAGCAGAATGCTGAAGCAAAGCATTCATGGCTGCAACAGTTTTTTTGTTTAGTTTTTTAAATAAGCAAAAGGACTCGATTTGTGCTTATGTGATTCGGAAAGATATTTATATGTTCTTCCTGACAGGATTTGGTAGAGTTTGATTTATGGGTTAACTCCACTAGTGTTGAAGCAAATCACGAACGTAATACGTCACAGTTACTACAACAGGCTCTATGCATAACTCCACTACTTTAAGACTCCTTTGTTTCCTTTCTTACATTACTTGATGAACTGATTAATCCAGGTGTGCCAGATGTGTCTAGCCAAGAAGACATTGGCCAGACACACCTGGTTCCAGTAATGAAGACAGAAAACAAAGTAGCTGCTTTAACTTCAGGAAGCCCATTGGCTAAAAGCTTGAGATGGGAGGCAGGTACCACTGGGTGATTTATCTAATCAGCTTGAAGAGTATTTCTGAAAGTCTTTTCCTTTTTTGATCACATTCCATAGGAGCCTTCTTAGACGAACTCTGTGTAGATTTCAAATTGAACTACATGTATCAGTCTAGCTTATACCAGGGTAACATTTTGATAGTGTTGGGCAAATGCATTTATTGTTGAGTCAAGCGCATTCATGTTAAATGGTTCCAACTTAGCAACCAATTGAAGCATTACATTAAAGATGGGTTGTGTGGTACTCAGACCTACTGTTCTACATAGGCCTAAAACCTCTCAGCAAAATAATCAACAAGACTGGCTATAGATAACATCTCAGAATTTCAGCCACCTGCTGTTAATGGGTGACATCAAGCTGCATGGTAAGAGTGAGTGAGACATTGACTCCAGATCCACACCACCAGGACCTACAGCAGGCACATTGTAATGTTATTTGGGCTGAGGAAATTTGCCTAGATGGTGACGAAGAGAGGGATGGTATTTCACACAAAGAGAAACACACAGAACAAAAAGAAGCCACAAGAAAAAGCATAAACAGTCAAATACCTGCAGCTAGTAAGGCAAGTTCGAAGAAGTCAGCTTGAAGGCAAGAACAAG